ATTCTATTCCTACTGTGCCAGGCAAGGGGCTGAACACAAACAAACAGCAGAATGCGGTCGTGGGTCTTCTGGCCGGCGGATTCGTCCGAGAGCAGCCTGCTGGCCTCAACAGAGGGAGTCTGGCTCAAAGTACCTTAATTACAACATTTAATTCAAAGACTGAGCCGAAGAAAAGAAGGGGCAAAGGGTCGAGGAACAAAGCCTGGCGGAGGGCTGTTGTGCGGACGGCCCTTTCCCCTTGGGGTCGCGCCTGGCCCCAGAGCACGGGGGCATCAGCGTCGTGTCCCCAAGGACGGCCCTGCCCGCCATGCGCTCCAGAAGGAACCTGGGAGACCCCCCTCCCCCCCGAGGCCCGGACAGGCCTCGTGCTGGCAGTTCACCTCCAGACGCGCTCAGTGCCTGATTCTTTCCCATCAGGCACTAGAGTTTACTCTTGTGATGCCAGGGTTTGATCACGGATTTGAAATTCTCTGCAGTCGAAGACAGTTATTAAGGATACGTTTCCCAATACAGCGAGAAAGGAGGAAGTTTCAACCACACGTCATCTGTGGCAACACGCGAGGACGTCAGCGTGAAGGCCAGAGCCACCTTGAGACACGGCCCTGTGCCGGGCTCGGAGAGCAGCCCGCGGGAGGCGCGGTCCCTGGAACCCCGGTCCGGGGAATCCGCGCCTCCAGCCCTTCAGGGATGACGGCCGTTGGCATGAGAGCGCTCACGCGCACCAAATAATTACGCGCGCGTGGAAGGGGGGGGCGTGGGTCATTCCCATGTGACAACAGTGGGATGCTGGCTGGGGTTGGGGAGCAGGAAAGTCTTTCTCTGCCTCCAGTTGAGTGATTCCCAGTCACAGCCGGACCTCGTTTTCAAATTCGCCACGACACACACAATACAGGTAAATTACGTTACTCTCTCCGCAAGCCCCAATGAAAACGTTTCAGTAGAAAAGCTTAGCAGAAATAAGGAGTTTTGATTTTTTCAAAATATACACTTGTGGGGGTGACAGCTATTTACAAAAACCCCATCCCTTCCCAGCAAACGATTCTGCAAGAAAAGTAAAACCCACCTCCTTTTCAAATGCGCTTTTTTGCCCACAGCAATTTAGAGAGCGTCTCGTTTAAAAATCGTTACTATGTTCAAACTAGCGGCTTAGCTGCTTTCAAACTGAGAGATTTGTGACGAGGAGTAAAAACCTGAGCAGGGCTTCAGCAGCGTAAATGAGGCATCCTACCGCGGCAGGGCTCCGTGGTCCACCCCGCCGCTCAGGCGCCCGGACGAGGGACGACGCGGCTCGGGCCGCGGAGGCGGTCACGTGGCCGCCACTCGGGAGGCAGTAAATAGCATAATGATCCCAGAGCGGCGACATGTGTCATCAGCGCAACAATGACTCAAAGACCATTACAGTGACTTCATCCCGTGCACATTCTGTTGAACGGAAAATGTTTCTGGGCAGAAGCACGTCGCGCATGTTGTGCGCGTGGCAAATACCAGGCGACAGAAAGCCTGATGGTCGTGGGCGGTCTTTAACCGAGGAACGCAAAGCAAATATTTCACCAAGTGAACAGAAGCTTTATATTTAAGATTTCCAAGGCAGGTTAAGTGTGAGCAGAGGCAATCAAGTAAGTTCCTACTAACGTTGCCTTTTCCATCAGGAACTCGGGCCGCGACCCCAACACGTGGACGTGGACGCGTGTCTTCCGCTACCGTTCCCAGCGCGCGAGTGAACGTGGCGCCTGCTGCTTCCTACGGTCTGTGCTGTGTCTCCTCCCCATCCTCTCTCGTTATCCTCCTTTCCTTTGTCGTGTACTGTTTCCTTGTACATCTGTGATGTTCACCAACACGAGCTCCGGGACCTTGGAGAGTCAGCTCCCGTCTCTTGGCCTCCGTCCCGGTGTCTGGGACCAGATGTGCTGCACCAGGGCCTCCACGTGCCTGTTCCTTCCGGGATTCCACGTGCGTGCCTGTGTGGGTATCCTGGCGGCCACCTGAGACTATCAGCGAGAGCCTGTGCGTGTATGCCCCACGCCCCCGGGTGGCCTTCTCCTTCGTGGACCGCCTGACAGAAGCGTCCAATCAAACGTGACTTAACGCCGAGTGACTGCATGTTAAGTGAGGGCCACAGGGTGCCAGGTCCCAAGTATAATCAACAGCACGATTTTGCTTTTCCTGTCTGTTTTTTTCCCCAGAGAGAGGAAAACCGTTTGTTTGTGCTGAATCCCTCATCCACGTGGCTGGCTGATTCTTACGAAGACAGCAAAGGAGGCGGGGAGCCGGAAGGGTGTATCGCTATGAATTTCTATATGCACAGGTACGACGTACCAGAAAACACACCTCGCCACTTGCCAGAAGCCGCGGGATGGCAGTTTTTAACTAGGTGTGAGTCGTTTTCAAAACTCTAACGTGCATTAAAAACTCAGCAATAATTCCTCCAGTAGTGCCAGCAGAACAGATTGTTAAACCCAAGCATTCAGCCTGTCAAGACCAGGGGCCCACGTCCTGAAGCCTCCAAGAGCACCGCGGAAGAAACCGGCCGTCTGCACGCCGATGTGTCTTGGGGGGGGGGGGGCAGCCCTGCTCCTGCGCCCACCGGGCCTTGCCTTCACCCTGACCCCACGACCCGGGAGGGGTGCGGGGCCGCGCCTCTACTCTGAGATCTCGGAGAGTACGCACGCGTGTTTTCTTTCTGAATGCCTACCCACCTGCCCCTGCGTCTGTTCTGACGCTTCGAGCAAACTTCACAGAACGTTTTCTTAGAAACAAGCAGATATCAAACCTGAGTTTTTTGAGCCACTTTTCCCGACACTAAGTGTTCATGGGAGAATTTACCGAGAAACGGTAGCTTCGGAAATCGATGTGAGGGAGGCTGACTTAGGAGCTGAAGTTACTTTCATATTTTATTTGTCTGAGTTGAGATTTAAGTAAATTATAGGCTACAACAGACACACATGGAGGTTTGCTCATGGGTATTTTCTGAGAACCAGACAGCTGGCTCCCACATTTGGCCAATTTCTTATGACATTCAGGACATCTGACCAGCCCTCCTTTCCCGAGGCGTCCATGCGTACCTGTATTCGTTCCGTGCATTCTGAATTAAAACTTGAACAGGTTTTTTCTCCCTCGATAAAGAGTGGAATGAAAGCAAGTTTAGCTTCAAGTTTGGGGAATTGCAGACCCGTTCCCGTAAAGAAGTTTGCGTGCAGTTTCGAGCAAATGGGCATTACTGCCCTGAGTCAGTCCGCGTCCCAGGCGCAGCCACGCTGCGCTCTCAGGCGGGGCTGGTGGGCGTCCCTCCGCCGTGCTGAGCAGGAAAACAGGGTTCCCGTTTACTTTCTGACCTGTGATCTGAAAGCGAAGACTGCACGTTATTTAGGAGCCGAGGACTTCCCTGGCATTTGACGAGGCCAAGTACAGACGTGACAGATGCAGTTCTGCTACTTCTCTTCCGCACGGCCAGGGTCTTCCGGGGCTGGGACCGTTAGCTTTGCGTCCAACCGCCGCTCGGAAGCTCATTGTCACCGTCCTCCGGCTACTTCAGGAAGAAGAGGTTCCGTGCTTCTTTCTTAGAGCCCGAGTTAAAAAAAGAGAAAGAATTGTGGCACAAGATAAAAGGGAAACATAAACGAGGCCTTAAATCCCTCTCTCTCGGGCGTCGCCTTCGGACCAGGCCCCTGCCCGGTAGGCCCGGGGAGGCCAGAATGCGGGAGCGCTGCTGCAGGTGTCCAGGGGGCAGCGGGTTCCCGCAACCCGCTTCGGCTTCAAGTACGCACACATCGGGAAGCTGGAACCCGTCGAAGTGGGGGGAGCTGGGCACGCCCCAACTCTGGACTCGCATCGTTCAGACCTGAAAAGAATTGCGTTATTTCTCTTCCTGGCCCCAATGGGGCTCTGGCTTGATTTCAGAATCCGAAACGACACGAAAGCACCGCGCACGGCACAGGGCACTTACTGAGAGAGACCGAATGGCTCCGAATGAGAACCTTCGGGACGCGGAGGGAACCGACCCTTGAGGGCCACCTGTGCCTAAGTAACGAGGCTCCTTCCTAAAAATAACTGCAGGAGCTGAGGTCTGGGCTCAGGGGGTGTAGGCAGAGCAGCAGACCGGCTCTTAACCCACTTCCTCGCGGCAAGCATGTCACGCACTGCTCCCGCTGTGGGCCGAGAGGGCCGCAGACGGGGTCCGACCGGGGCGTACCGGACTCCCACAACAGGCTTCCTGAGATACATGGAACCAGCAGCCACGAGAACGGTCCGCCGTCCACGGCCGCGGCTTGCGATCACATGTTCTCATGTAGAGCCTGCTCCTGGGGGCTGGGAGGGGTTGTCAGGACGAATCCAGGGACGGCCCGGGGTTTCACGGAGCCATCCACACGTCACCGGCGCGCTCTGAGCCGGAGTCCCACGAGCGCTGCGTCTGCCTGAACGCACATCTGATGGCGCTGTGACGTTCTGAAGCTTCCCTGCACAGTTTACGGGGCTGCTGAGGGGGGGACCACAACCAGCCTCCCCCACAAATCCCCACCGGCTCCCACACTCTCCGCCGTCAACCACGTGCTTTAACACATCCATTCCGCGGACCTTCATTTTACTTTCTTCCCCCCTGGAATCGTTCCAACTTCGTTTTGAAAAGCCAGGCTGA